GCCTGAACATGGCCCCGCCCTCAGGGTTCATCTGTGTGTTCTAGAGGGAAGGTCAGGTGGTGAACACTATAGAATAATAAGGAAGGGAATGAGAATCATGAATCGGAATGGAAAACAGGCATTGCAGGGAGATGTGGAAGAAGTGAGAACATGGCAGTGCTTTGAAAGAAGAGAAAGAGAAGGCTTTTTAAAATCTTTAGCTTTTGTAGAGGCAGGTTCTCTCCTCTCTGTTTCCAGGGCTCCAGAAGTAGTCCTCCTGCAGCAGCTTCCCAAAGTGCTGAGGTGGTCATAAGGCCTTTATGCCCAGCCAAGGAAAGGCTTTAAAGGAGGTGACACTGGAGGCTAGGATTTGGCTTGGTGTGGAAGGAGCCAGGGAAGGTTGTTTCACAGTAGAGGCAAACCAACATGAGGCCCTGTGTGGGGAGAGAGCTTGGTTAGTTTTCAGGAGGAGAGGTTCCGGGAGGCCAGTGGGACTGGGGTGAGCAGGAGGTGCATGGGAGAAGGAGGAGATAGGAAGCCGGTGGGACAGGGACATACCGGCCTTTTGGGGCCACAGGAAGAACTGGGGGCTGTCAATGCATGAGACTGCCCTCTGGTTGCAATCCCTCACTTCAGACCTCCGCCTTGAGCTCTCTGCCCCTTTAGCCCCAGATCAACTCTGAGCTGGGCTTGTGGAGTGTAGCTCCTCGTCCCGCTGGCCACGGCCCCTCCGCTCGCAGTGTGTCATAGGACAGGCAGAGAGCCCTCCTGTTTTCCCCGGCTCAGAGCCTGTCCAGGCACTTGCAGATTCCCACTGGGCAACAAGCAACCCCTCGCTGATCGCGGATAGCCAACCCTAGAGGAGGAACAGCTGTCCAAACCCCAAACACCTCCTACCAGCTGCCTGATACCTGGGCCTTCCTTCCTCCACCACCCTTCTCTCACACGTCAGCTGACCTGGGTTTCAATCATGCCTCTACCTCCCATAAACACTAGGGCAGTAAGCAAGTTGGGTTTTATTTTTGTTTGGATTTTGATTTGGTAGAGGTGGGGTCTTGCTATGTTGCCCAGGCTGGTCTCGAGCTTCTGAGGTCAAGCAATCCTCCTGCCTCTGCCTCCTAAAGTGCTGAGATTACAGCGTAAATCCTGCATACCAGCCTGAGCAAGTCTCATTTTAATCCCTCACCTGTGAGGTGGATACTATCTGCTCTCACAGGGCTGTCAGTAGACATGAAATGTATTCTAAGTAATATCAGTTGGCACTGAGAAGTCTACTCTGGAGCCAGGTATGTGCCCCACTTACCCTATACCTTTAGCTCACTTTCCATACTGCTCCTCCATATTAATAATGTTAGAGATGTTGTGATCAGAGCCAGCTTCATGAGCATGTAGCTATCTCTGATCCTCAGAGAGCCATCCATCAAAACTTACACTTGGTTCAATTCTCACAATGCTGTCTTGAAATTCTTATTTTTTTTTTTTTTTTTTGAGACAGGTTGCAAACTCTTGTTGCCCAGGCTGGAGTACAATGGCACGATCTCAACTCTTACAACCCCACCTCCCAGGTTCAAGCGATTCTACCTACCTCAGCCTCCCAAGTAACTGAGATTACAGGCATGTGCCACCACGCCCAGCTAATTTTGTATTTTTAGTAGTGATGGGGTTTCTCCATGTTGGTCAGGCTGGTCTTGAGCTCCCAGCCTCAGGCTGATCCCCTGCCAAGTGCTGAGATTACAGGTGCAGATCACACAGGCCCAAACGAAATTCTTAATGAATTTTTTTTTTTTTTTTTTTTGCGATGGAATCTCACTCTGTCGTGAGGCTGGAAGTACAGTGGCACTATCTTGGCTCACTGCAACCTCTGTCCCAGGTTCAAGCAATTCTCCTGCCCCCAGCCTCCCAAGTAGCTGGGACTACAGGTCTCCCGCCACCCACACCCAACTAATTTTTGTATTTTTGGTAGAGGCGGGGTTTCACCATATTGGCCGCGCTGGTCGAGACTCCTGACCTTGTGATCCACACCTGCCTTGGCCTCCCAAGTGCTAGGATTACAGGCGCAAGCCACCACACATTAGAGATCATGTCATTTCAAACCCAAATTCCTATTTCTTGCCTGTGCATCCTAGTTATATGGTGGTCCTAGTTACTGCATTAGCATCTATTGTTGACCGCCCAGCCTTATTAAGCACTGTAGAGATAAGTGCAAAACAGAATTCCCTGCCCTTGTGGAATTTTACTTTTATCACTTCCCTCAGATGAGGCAACTGAAGTTCAGAGAAGGTAAGTTACCTGCTCAAAGTCACACAGTAAGTGGAGTGTCCAGAGTTCCAACTCGACCTCATCAACAAGCAGTGATTCCATAACTTCCATTTTGTGGCACTACAATGAGGGCTGCCGTCTTTAATATGACATCAACAAAAATAAGCGAATAATTATTCCTACACACACTTCTTAGGTTAACTCATTTTAATCTCACAGCTGCCCATTTAGAATGAGAAGATGCGGCTCAGAGTTGGAGTACCTTGCCCAGAGTCACACTGCTGTGAAGGAAGCCCAGGCTAGACTAGGAACCTGGGTGTCTTGCTCAGAGTCGTTTCTAGCCATGCCAGCATGTTGCCTTCTGAGGAATCATTCAGAAAGAAAATAGTGGCTTTTGCAATTCGTTTTAATCACCGTCATTTCCCATTTTTGTCATTTTTGTCATAATATCTGGACCCCGGCACAAACCTGACAATCATCTCTCTAATAAAGTTAACAAATGGACCATAGGCAGATGAGGCATAAACCTGTAAAGGAAGGAAGGAAGGAAGGAAGGAAGGAAGGAAGGAAGGAAGGAAGGAAGGCAGGCAGGCAGGCAGGCAGGCAGGCAAAGTAATGTCTTTAGTAAAAAGAACTGTGAAGTAAATAAAAAAGGTACAGCCATGCGCAGTGGCTCACACCTGTAACCCCAGCACTTTGGGAGGCTGAGGGGGGGTAGATCACCTGAGGTCAGGAGTTCGAGACCAGCCTGGCCAACATGGTGAAACCTCGTCTCCACTAAAAATACAAAAATTAGCTGTGTGTGGTGGCTCACTCCTCCCAGCTACTCGGAAGGCTGAGACAGGAGAATTGCTGGAACGTGGGAGGCAGAGGTTGCAGTAAGCCAAGATCATGTGACTGCACTCCAGCGTAGGCAACAGAGTGAGACGCCGTTTAAAAAAAATAAAATAAAATAAAATACAAGAGGGTGATATTGCAGTGATTGTGAGGAGGCATTTTACATAGAACAGCTGCTCTAAAATTTAGTGGTCTCAGGATCATTTATATTCTTTTAAAAAAAACTATTTTAGACCAGGCGCGGTGGCTCACACCTGTAATCCCAGCACTCTGTGGGGGCCAAGGCAAGCAGATCACTTGAGGTCAGGAATTTGAGACCAGACTGGCCAACATGGTGAAACCCCATCTCTACTAAAAATACAAAAATTAACCGATGTGGTGCTGCGTGCCTGTAGTCCCAGCTACTTGGGAGGCTGAGGCAGAAGAATTGCTTGAACCCGGGAGGTGAAGGTTGCAGTGAGCCGAGATCATGCCACGGCACTCCAGCCTGGGTGACAGAGCAAGACTCTGTCTCAGAAAACAAACAAACAAAAATTTTAATTATTTGTAATTCAATTATTTAAAAATTATTTTGTAATTATTTTTATTTTTTTTATTTTTTGAGACGGAGTCTCGCTCTGTTGCCCAGGTTGGAGTGCAGTGGCACGATCTCGGCTCACTGCAAGCTCCGCTTCCCGGGTTCACACCATTCTCCTGCCTCAGCCTCCCGGGTAGCTAGGACTACAGGCGCCCACCACCATGCCTGGCTAATTTTTTTTTTTTTTAGTAGAGACGGGGTTTCACCATGTTAGCCAGGATGGTCTTGATCTCCTGACCTCGTGATCTGCCCGCCTCGGTCTCCTAAAGTGCTGGGATTACAGGTGTGAGTCACTGCGACCGGCCTGTAATTATTTTTAATAATTACTTAAAAATTATTCGTAATTCCATTTGTAAATTATTTGTAGTTCATTTAAAAATAATAAACCCTTATATATTTACATATGTTTTATGAAAATAGCTGTATTTTCTAAAATGAACAACAACAAAAAATGAGTGAGAAGAATGGCATAGTTTCAATTTTTGCAAATCTCTTTAGTGTCTTCCTTAATAGAAGACAGCTGGCTTCTCATATCTGCTTCTGCAGTCTGTCTATTGCAGCGTGGCATGTCATGAGGTCTTTGGAAAACTCCACCGTGCACACAGAAGAGAAAGAGTGAAAAAGGCAAATATCCTCTTAGTATTGTTATGAAACTAGTTTTGAGTTCACATACTCCCTGGTAAAGGCTTGGGGCCAGGAACCACACTTGGAACTGCTGCTGGGATGCAGTGATGGAGAAAGGGCTCACAGGAGCACAAGGCCTCGGAGAGAAGGAGTAAACTATGTGAAGCCTCCTGGCTTTAAAAAGCGTGGAGATTGTTGCTGGGTGCGGTGTTTCACACGTGTAATCCCAGCACTTTGGGAGGCCCAGGCGGGTGGATCACTTGAGGTCAGGAGTTCGAGGCCAGTCTGGCCAACATGGCCAACCCCTGTCTCTACTAAAAATACAAAAATTAACTGGGCATGGTGGCCCAGGCCTGAAGTCCCAGCTCCTTGGGAGGCTGAGGCAGGAGAATCGCTTGAACCCAGGAGGCGGAGGTTGCAGTGAGCTGAGATTGGGCCACTGCACTCCAGACTGGGCGACAAGAGTGAAACTCCATCTCAAAAACAAAAGAAAAGCATGGAAATTGTACGGTGTGCTTCACTGCGAATTCTGGTCCTGACTTGGTCTTAGAATAGCTCCGGGACTATGGACAGGTACCCTGCCCTCTCTGAACCTCAGTTTCCCGGTCTGCTTTATGAAAAGGGTGGCCTCTAACATTCCAGGCCGCACCCCTCCCCCAGCCTTCCCCAAGCCTCTGGGAGGTTCCAGGAGGAATTTCAGAGCAACTCTTCCGTTTGCCAGCAGAAGGCGATGGAGACCAGCCTCGGCTGGACTACTTCCTCCCCAGAGGCCCTTCACCGCCTCCCCATCCAGACCCAAGGTTCCCTAGTGGTCCGGACGGTTTCCTTGGCATCGCTGGCACCAGGTATCTCAGGCCACCCAGGTTGTCCCAGGGAGGGGCTGGAGGCACCGAGAGCCCTTCATATTGACCCAGACACGTGGCCAGGTTGGGATGCTGGGATTCTCCCAAACCCAGTCTGGGAGGAGCTGAGGAGAAAGAAGAACGGGTTTGGGCAAAGACACTTCAGCCCCTCCCCACACACACCCCGCTGAGCCTTTCGGTGGGAAACCACCCAGGAGCTGTTGACTTCTCACAGGGAAAGCCGGGCGGGGGTGGCCGGAAGGGAGCAAGACGGAGAGAGAGCTGCGCCAGCTCCCCGGGGACCGCCTGCCTGCAGGCGCGAGGCGGCGCTTGCATCAGCGCCTGCCAGGGCAGGGCCAGGGACCGCGGCCACCGGCGACGTCAGTCTCTTTCCCAGAAGAATTCCACTTCCTGCGGCCGGGGCCCCGGCTGTGAGGGGGCGGAGGAGTGGTGGGTTGGTGTCGCAGGATGACACCACTGGTTTACTGCATCTTCTCGGTCACACACTGTTGCCTAGGAGACCAACAGCATCCTGGCCGCCTCAGTGAGGCTAACCCGCCCCCGGGAAGTGACCCGGGGCACGGCCCACTCAGGAAACCACTGGCTCTAGGGTGCAGGCCCCAGGAGACTCGGCCACCCACTACGGGTCCTGGATTCTGCCCTGGAGGCATCCGGTGGCCCACCTTCCATATTGTACCTGATTGTCAAGTTTTCAAAGCACACTTGCTGGAGGATGTTAGAAACAAGCCAGAGAAAACTAAAGCCCAGAGAAGGGCCCTAAGATAGCCTGTAACTGGGAGAGCTGACTTTTCAAGCCTCTGTGATTTGGTTTGGTTTGGTTTGGGTTGGGTTGGATTGGTTTTTTTTCTTACCTTTCTTGCCATAGATCAGTGTCTCACAAACCTCTTAAGAGTCAATGGCCCATCCGCTATCAGTGAAGCAATGTTTGTTTTATTTTGTTTGTTTGTTGTTGTTTGAGACACAGTCTTGATTTGTCACTCAGGCTGCAGTGCAGTGTCTTGATCTTGGCTCACTTCAACCTCTGCCTCCCTGGTTCAATCCATTCTTTTGCCTCAGCTTCTCCAGTAGCTGGTATTACAGGTGCATACCACCACACTCGGCTAATTTTTTTTTTTTTTTTTTTTTAGAGAGACAAGGTTTCACCATGTTGGCCAGGCTGGTCTTGAACTCCTGACCTCAAGTGATCCACCCACCTTGGCCTCGCACAGTGCTGGGATTACAGGTGTGACCCACCACACCTGGCTGCAATGTTTGTTTTAATTAATTTTGGCAAGTATTTCCTGAGCACCCCGAGTGTGCCAGGTGAAGAGACAGAGAAGGATAATAACAGTGCTAGCCAACATATATTAAGTCTTGCAAAGCTGCACAGGCATGAACTTGTGGCTTAAACACAACCTTATGAGGTAGGTGTTATCCCCATTTTACAGAGTAGAATACCCAGTTAATGTGAGATCAGCTGGGAAGTAAAATCAAATCTGAGTCCTAAACTAGAAGTCTTTACCATTACCAGGCAGCCTTGCAGAATGTCAATTAACATGGCAGACAGGGCCCTTCTTCTTTGGAATTGATGCATTTTTACTGCATTTTAAGACCGTGCATTTAATCTTCAATTATGTGTTAATAATGTGAGATGAGGATAAAAGTAATTCCAAATAAGAAACATGTGATAACATCAATGCAACTAGCATTGAGGCCTACATTGAGGTATGCCAAACGCTGTGCCAAACCCACTACCATTATTACCTCATTTAATACAACAACTCTATGAGGTCAGTTATATCACTTTGGTCCCTCCTTCGCAGATGAAGAGACTGAGGCACAGAGGTGAAGTATGTCATCCATGTCCCAAAGCTAGTAAATGAATGCTTAGTAATTAACGGAATAGTGTCCTGGTCCATGTAAACACTTAATACACTTGTACTCTGCTTTGGAAAGAATGGAGAAACTGCAGTGTATACAAACATCCCGGGAAAACCTCATTCATTTGGACCATTTCCATCTAGATTTTACTATAATTTGAAAGGAGCCTAGGGTCGTGTTTTGTGTGTGTGTGTGGGGGGGGGGGGGGGGGGGTGTGTGTGTGTGTTTTCCTGCTTGCGGGGAAAAGCTAAGCAAATAGTACAAACAAAGTAAAAACATTTTTGTGGGGCATTTTAGAATTTAGAAGAGCTAGGGTGTGTTCAGGGTGGTATGGCGGTAGATACATTTTAGGATGTATAAAGCACTTTGCTACCCAGGAGTTAACTTTATCTTCACAGTCCCCCTGAGAAGTCATTAGAACTGGCCATCTTAGTCCCAGTCTGCAGGTGAACTCTGAGAAACTTTCTAAAGAAGAATTTCTAACTACTAAAGAGAAAAAATGATCTTTAGGGACTCAAAAGTAAACTACCCACAATAGCTAAGATGTGAAAACAACAAATGAATGGATAAACGAAATGTTTATACATATGTACAAATGTATATGTACAAATTTATACAAATGTACATACAATGAAATATTCAGCCTTAAAAAGGAATGAAATTCTGGTGAGTGCTACAATATGGATGAACATTGAAGGCATGATACTAAGTAAAATAAGTCAGACACAAAAGCACAGTATTGTATGATTCCACTTATATGGGATACCTAGAATAGAGAAATTTATAGATACAGAAGTAGAGTAGAGGTGCCAGACTGGAGGGAGAGAGAAATGGGGAGTTCTCATTTGATTAGAATTCAATGAACAATTTAATTGATATGAATTGAAGGGATGATGAACAAGCTCTAGGAATGGGTAGTGATGGTTGCACAACACTGTGAATGTACTTAATGCCTCTGAATTGTGCACTTAAAAGTGGTTAAAAGGTGGCTCATCCCTGTAATCCCAGGATTTTGGGAGGCTGAGATGGGTGGATCACTTGAGCCCGGGAGTTCGAGACCAGCCTGAGCAGCATAGTGAAATCCCATCTCTCCAAAAAATAATAAAAAAAAAAATAATTAGCTGGGGGTGGTGGCAGATGCCTGTAGTCCCAGCTTCGTGGGAGGCTGAGGTGGAAGAATTAATTGAGTCCTAGAGGGTGAGGCTGCAATAAACGGTGATCATACCACTGCACTCTAGCTTAGGTAACAGAGAGGAAATTCTGTCTCAAAAAAAAAAAAAAAAAAAAAAGTTAAAATGGTAAATTTTGTGTTATGCATATTTTACTACAATGAAAAATTTTAAGAAAAAAAAAGTAACCCACATAGCAATCCCCATTCTCATCCAACTCTTTCTTTAAAAGGAGACTCCTGGGTACTTATTAAAGCAGAAGGAGCCTTAACTCAGGCCTGCACTTGAAAGCAAGAAAACACCATGCCTTTAAAAAATAGCTCACGAGTGTGTGTTTTCACTAAACACAGGAGGCTGGTATTCCCCTCAGGTATTCCAAGTGAACAAGATATGGCTGGTAGAGTGGAGAATTGGGAGGTGAGTCACTGGTTTGGCAGGTGACGTCACCATGAGGTGACCGTCTGCGTGGTGTGCCTCCCACCTCCCACGTCTCCCATTCTCTCCACTCAGGGGCGGCCAGGTCACCAGCTGGCTCAGCTGGAAGTCTATCTGTTCTGGTGTGATGTTTAGTGGGAAACATTCCTCTTTATGACTCAGTGACTCAGTATCCCAACAGATGGGTTCAGGAAGGCTCCAGGAGCTATAAAGCCAACTCCGAGGTGGAAACCTGGATGGCCAAGGAGGAGATGAAAGACATAAACCCTTGGGAAGGGAGAGGAGAGAGCTTGTTTTCTGTTTGTTGGAATGCTAAATATCTAAGAAGTAATGGAATGATTTAGGATAATAATTATTATCCTAAGACAACTCAGGAGACTGGCACACGGAAGGGGACAGTAAATATTTATTGAATGAAATATTCATTGATTATTATTTCAGAGGTATTCAACTGCAAGAACAATCCCAAACTATGAGTGAAAAACATAGATTCTCGACCGGGCACAGTGGCTCGCACCTGTAATCCCAGCACTTTGGGAGGCCAAGGCGGGTGGATCACTTGAGGTCAAGAGTTCGAGACCAGCCTGGCCAACGTGGTGAAACCCTGTCTCTACTAAAAATACAAAATTAGCCAGGCGTGGTGGCACACACCTGTAATCCCAGATACTCAGGAGGCTGAAGCAGGAGAATCGCTTGAACCCAGGAGACAGAGGTTGCAGTGAGCCAAGACTGCACCACTATACTCCAGCCTGGGTGATAAGAGTGAAACTCCACCTCAAAAACAAAAAAAAATGGAAAGAAAAAGAAAAATATATATCCTTACTTATGTCTCACCAACTCTAGTTTTCTCAAAGGGGCACCAGAAATGGAGCTTGACACACTTTTGTGGAATTGACACAGGTTTCATATGGACAACTATGATATTGACACAAAGAATCATGATGTTTATGCAGGTAATGAGGTCATTAATAAGTAGTAATGTGAAGGGATTGTCTTGGACATGTTTGTACACTCATCTAGCAATTGTTAGCAGAGGTACCATATCTATATAAGATGAAAGGAAGTGAGGAAGAGAAAGTATTTGCTTTATTTGTTTTTCCTTTTTTCTCTTTAGGCTGTATACTGTTGAGTCAATCTGGGATGGTTTAAGGTACATGAGCCTCAGTATCAGACAAGCCTCAAATGAGTCAGTGAGGACTCTTAGTTGCAAGACAGAAATTGGATTCAAATTAGCTACAGGGGGAAAAAAAATCCAGCAGATGGCTTCAGGCATAGCTGTTTCCAGGTGCCCAAATGCTAGTGTTAGAGATTTGTTGGTTTTTTAAAAATCTTTCAGCTCTGTCTGCCTATAAGATGACAAGGAATCATCCCAGTAGCTCTAGTCTTACCTTTTGTGAGCCTAACAACCTCATTAGAAAGAGATCTTTCTTCTCAACAAAAATATCAGGGTTAACTCTGGCCGGCCTCGCTTGAGTCACATATTCCTCCCTAGACCTGGAGATGGTGTTAAAGCCATAA